ACCGATGCGCCGACCGACGAACCTTCAACACCCTGTGACAACCAAGGTATTAACGGTATTGGAGTGGAGAACAAGGTGCGCTACAACAACGCCGGCATCTACAGCACGACGCCTGGTCCCCGTAATGCTCAATCCTGGCACTCATGTTGCGTCTCTTGCTACAATGATATCAACTGCCACGCCTTCAGCTTCCAACAAACCAGTTCAGACTCTGTATGCGAGTTGACGACGTCAACTTCGAACAGGGAAGAGGATCAGCAGAACTGGCAGGCAGGCAACATGGACCGTGACTGAGGATGCACAAAGACGCACTACTGATGTACTGCATCTACTTTTTTTTTTACGCCTATACATAACATGCATTGAAGATTTTGCACACTGTTTTTGCTCTTGATTCTTTCGTTGCTGTTGTTGTATCTTGTTAAGAACAGCTCTATAGTTAATTTTTATCAATCTTGCAACTTAACCCGCTATAAGTAGGCTTGAAGGAGGCTGTAGTTAATTAAACATGTAGCATTTCTTCTTTTTTTTTTTTTTTTGGGGGGGAGGCATGACTTTTAAACAGCAAAACAACAGCTAACGACTTCGGATAGCTAAATTAACTATAGAGTCCTGGAGATTCTATAGGCTCTGCCTAAGTGTAGTACAAGTAGTTTCCACAGATACAAATTGAGAAATCGATATTACTTCAATACAGTCTGCATATCGAAAAAGAATTTACGCAGCCAAAGCTGACAGCAACGTGTCAACGCCTTCACAGTCGATGGAAAGAAAGAAAGCAACCAAAGGGGAGACAGAGAAAGCTGACTCTTTTCCGCCAGCGGGGTCCGCTGTAGACCCTCAGCTGCCATGCAATAGCATCGCTGTAAAGATTTATACCCTAAATATTCTTGAATTCAACTCACCTCAATGCTTGGGAATGTATTGGCGTCCTTTTTGTCACTTCATACATGCCTGTTCAATGTCTTCACGAAAGTGATGGAAGCGTCGCAGCCAGCTCGAAGCAGTGTCTATTTCAATGTACATCCCAGTTTTCAAATTGATCTACGCTCAACTTTTACAACTAGCAACCAGATTTTTAAAAAAAAAAACTCATAAACAAATATCGTGAAACCGGAACACTTGACTTCAAGTTATAACAACCGTTGCTTTCACGTTTTCTTTGCAGCCATTTTCCAGTATTCACCAGAAGAAATACACGAAATTGTAGACATTTGTCCTCGGTCATCACCATTAAACGAAAATCCAACAACCATGTCGAAAGCATCAGAGATATAGACCGAGTTGACTGCAAATGGTTTTCTCCGGGCCTGCGAGAAAATTCACATCCGTTTCATCGACTAAAGAGAATTGTTCTACGATGCAGTGAAGAACTTGATCCGGGTTTCCTAATGAAGACTGTTGAAGCCCACGACAGCGCAGTTTCGAAACGCTATATGGTCTTGTGACTCGATCACGAATTGGACAGTGAACACATTACAAGAACTGGTCGTATTGGTTTAAAGGGGCGCCAGCCACGACGATTACTCGGTGAGGTCGCAACCATTTGAGGGTTGTCGTCCCCCACGTCATTTACGAAACGCTAAAAAAAATTAGAGGAGCGAGTACCATCCCATTTTCCAGTCAGTAGATTCAGTACGGCGGAAAGAAAAAAACACACACAGAAAAGCGAATGGTCGTTCAACACA